TTGAATGTTTGGGTTACACTTCTTCAGTTAGAGGTCGTATTCGCAGATTAAGTAAAAAAATATTTTTGTTTTACAAAAAAAAATATCTAGGAAGTAACGTTCTATGCTGAATCAGTATTTGATGAACGTAGGCGCGTGTCATTACACTTCCTAATAAGATTTACATAATATCTACAATGAAGGTCATTGTCTCCGTTTTTATCTTCCTACACAACTGTAGAATTATGTCAACCCCTATCAAGGTTATGTTAACTTCCATATTTATAGTTGCAACTAAGATTGTTGTATGTCATGTTATGGATTCGATTCCTTCTATTAGACGTTCGATTCATTTTTACCCGATCCGGAAATTGAACCTCGTCCTCATCAGTAGCGTTTCCGGCCATTAGTTCAACGAGGCGGTTAAAACCAGGTTCAGTTTTTCCGCCACTCTTAGTCACCCCTTCATTAAGTTGGTAGTCATCATATATTGGAATTTCTTGATCATTATTTGCTTCATTGACTATTATTGCTTTGTCTTCTACTACAACTGTATTATTTTACAATGTTAAATTACCTTAAAGACCGTCACAAAAAATTTAAACGTCCCAAACTCATTATGTCTTACGTGTAGATATTCTCGTCTGTCGGTCTGTCAGTTTGCCGGTCCTCGTTGGAGCATAAATTGATTATATTCATCATTACATTTCGTACGTGATAGCTAAGCATCTTACGTGACGCCATCTTGCTTTTTGCTTGCCGCCCTCCACTACACACTGGTTTTCAAATAAAATGTTATACTTACGAAGTTTTTTTCCTTTTTCAACCATCCGTTCTGCATGGCTGGTTTTGCTTGACGCAAATTACGTTGTTTGATAGTGACGCAATATTTCCATTGTATATTTTTAGAATTCGTTTTTAGTATGGTCGGGGGTGTAAGTAAAGTAGCAAATCATTCTTTAGTACAAACAACTCTGACAGCAATTGGTCCTTTTAGTTTCATTTAAATGCTGAAAGTCAGATGTTATTGGTTTCTAAATTATTTTGATTCCTAAACTAGCGCTGCATGCCGAATGAGTTTATTGTTAATTTGGAATTAGAAGTAACCTGATCAACTGGAACAACCTGAATTTATTTAACCCGTTTGAATTCAACACCTGTGCGTATCAGACGCCTTGTTGTTTGTTGTTCAATGCTCAAGATAGACGGAAAATGTAAATTAAGTTTCAACTTTTCTAAAATTGGACACAATATAACAAGGCGTTGAACTCATAGAAAGCAATTTCGATGAAATGGTAGCGAATATTTTTTGCATAATCAAGGGAATCAGTTTGTGGAACGAGGCCCATTTGCCGGAACCTCTTTCATCTTTCGAGTGTCCGCCACATATTTGTCGTTGCCATCTTAAGTTTACAGTTCGCAAATTGACAATTCACAGAAACTTTGGTATATTTAGTTCAAGTTTAAACTTGTTCAACTGCATCGGCAAGTTGGTTATATAAAAGTGTAATGTGTTATAATGTTATGCCAGGATGGGTTTGTCACGAGCTCGCGAGGGTGAATGCACTGCGCAAATATGTCCGCTCCGTTAAAATAAATCTTTGTACGTTTCATTATTTTTCATTGCTATATGCCCCGTTGGTTCTACGGTAATTTCAGGCTTTGTTTCATTTTTCATACATGTGTTTTCTGATAATACTAAAATATCTTACAATTATCATCTTGTAGAGGGTGAAAAGTGGATCAAAAGTGTGCAGGATGTTAAAATGGAAATTAACACCGTAAAAATAATGATCAATCATCTGACGTCATCGCTAATTTCTGCGACGAACATATTGCCATTGTAGTGCCAACGCAGTTTGAAGCGTGAAAGGAGAGTGATCGAAGTAATAATTAACGCACTAAAAGTTATCAGTAGGAACGCGGCGTCTTTATGTTCATCAAAGTTAATCCAAAGATAACGGGAGAACTTAATGAACTCTGAAGTCATTATTATGTACAGATAGTGAAATCACCATACGTCTCTACGTACGTGTGTAGCCACGTGTCAATAACATAGAAAAAACCAATTTCTTGCAACGACGGAAAAAAACGACTACACGGTATTGGGACCTAGTAATCAGCAAGTACGTCCTTTCTTTGTATTGAAACCTCTATTTCCTTTAAATCCATAAAAATAACAATACAAACGCCTATTACATTTCCGAAGACAACCTCGTCAGCTTACAAACTATTCGCTTCTATCTCGCAATTCAGATTGGTACTCGAATTGATATTTCTATTGACAGTACCTATATCTATGTCACCATTGGACTTCAATTTGTTCGGTACAAGTTGTATCCAAGTATTTCAAACTGCTACCGTTCAGAATATTGCTCGTCATTGTAAGGGAAACGGTTTTATGAAGACTTCGGCGCTTTCTGCGAACCAGTTCCCATAACCTAGATGTATTAGTACTGCAGCGCCGATACATTTCAGCTTTATTAAGTACTGGAGATACCGTTTACGTTATAGCAAGTCTATTTACTTGAATATATTGTTGAAAGGTAATCTTTGAGAGCTATACATTTAATATATCTAGTTATAACAAAGTTTTACGTCGTGAACGACCACATCAACTTGGGATGTCTCTGTGTCTAGTAAAATTTTCAAGTTTATATTTTTTTTACAATGACGTACAATCTTACATCTCAGTCTCATGTAGGTCGGCAAAAACCACAAAATACTACCTATTACTATGATCTCCACACGTTTATTCTGAAATGTATTTTAGGTACTCTTGTACTTTGCTCTTGAATTACGTTCATTATCATGACGAATGTTGAAATACCAAGTACACAATAACGTCTTGAATAATTTTCACCCGTTACGAATTTAACTAAACGTTCGATGCGTGACCAGTGCCATAAAATGAAAGGTCAATAGCATCAGTGCCAGATTTACTGGAGTATGATGTTGCGAAATTAATTTGCGTATAGTACGTGTTTGAGGTTTCATTTGGATTATTGGAAACTAGTATTTAATTGCTGTGTTCTAAGTATCGTTATTGTTTGACTACTATTTATTAGTTATCTCTTACTTTAGTTTGATTGGAATTGATACCCTTTTCGAACATATGCACTGTTTCTTTAGCAAAATGTTCTACTACTGGTACTAGCTAACTTGATTAGTTATGCAACTCACCACTAAGATACATCTGTGATTGGTCATGTCACCTTGAGGCTTCATAAAATTAGTTACACAAAAATGTTCGAAATTGTTCCTGAGTCATATTCTCTGTATGGCTTCTTTGTGTACAGAAATTGCCTTTTTTATAATAGAATTGTCTACCTAATCTAAAACTGTTGAAGTCCTGTGTATGAGAATATTGTTTTCACTGTATCGTTTTAGGCAATTAAGGGTTAACCTACTATAAAACGTAAATACTGAAAAGGTTTAAATTAACTCTTTGACAAAAGCTAACATAACGACATGCTAAAGGTTATTTACGGTCTCATCTTTGAACCCTCGTCCAAGAGTCAACGGCGCAACTTCAAAACAGTTTGTCACCTTAAGAGAGTCCTCGAAAGGTTTTTTATTTTCTAACTAAAGCAATACAAATAATGTGCATTCACCATACAAAGCTAGCTAGACGGGCCTCTCGTTAGCAACGGCTCGTAAAATGGAACGTACCGCAACTGCTCTTAGATACGCCAATAGAAGTGAACATTGCGGTGTTAAAGCGATTCTGTTTGTTGGTTTTTGAGAGTACATCTTCAGAAATGCCGTATGGATTTTGAAGAAATGTAAAATGCCTCTAGATTCTTCATGCACTACTAATGATATTGTTATGCTAGTTAAGTGTTGTCTTTGGATTAACAATCCATTATTGTGGGTTGTTGGTGATTTTGATTGAAAAATTAACTTGCACTTAACCAAGTGCAAGTTAATTTTCAATTAAGATTTTTCAATCAAAATCACCAAAGTAACCACTTAGGATTAAGTTTTGGGAGTTCAAAAATTTTCCTTTAACAGATCAACAGCATCTGATTTTGACTAAAAACTCAACCAAGTATACTTTACAACTTTGGGAATGGTCATGTTAAACTTAACCATAAATTGGTGCTCAGAGGGTATAAAATTCAGTTAGACGGGCAGGATATGACGTGAAAATTGTTCAGAACCGTGTCAGTGAGGTCGTTTCGCCTGTGTTGCATGCATTGATTGTATTACATGTGCACCGTGAAATTGTCGCTAGGTCGCTGGGGTCGACGACCCGTTGACAGGTTGACGGTGATTCATCTCGGTAACTTTTGATTTTTGTTATTGCTATTTTGAAGTTTAAGTGAATGCTGGTAGATGGAATGGGAGAAAGGGGGATATGATATGATGCTTATAAGGAGCTTAGAATATTTGTTGTTATTGATCTGAAAATGCTTAAGAATAGGGGTACATAGAAAAGAAGTAGAATAGTAGAAATCCTTCGAAGTGAAATAATAATATCAAGGTGATATAATGTTTATGCTGGTTTTTATCAAAATAAACAATTTTATCTTTAATTTCTCTCTTTGATAAAGTAAAATTGATGAGGTAATAAACGATATTATTGATAAAAATAAGTTCATCGCAAATTTTCGACTTAAATACTACTTTTTTCATAGATCTGCTGAAAAAGGGATGATAAGATATTAGTAATTTATATTACTATGTCGTCAAAATAATGCTCACATCTGCTACAGGTTAACTCTCGTTAAAACTATTCCAGTTAATAGAGTGTGTCGATCTTGTCACTGCTCGCTACATAGGAATGTAATACAACGTATCTTATTAGTTTTTAGGGCATAACATTGTTATAAGCCGACTCGACTGGAGTGATACCACGGCCTCACAGAAAACCGACGTGAAGCAACGCTTGCGTTGTGTTTCATCGTGTGAGTGTGGTTACCGGAGGCCCAATTATAAATCTCTAATTATTAATTAAATAAAAATTAGAATACTTTGTGTGTTTGTGTTAAATTAACCCTATAATTTCATTGTTACAGATGACAGCAGTAGAGAGGAGGTTACTTCAGAGCAACAGGTAAGATTGTGTTATTTATACTTTTTAATTGCAGACTCTTTGCTCTGTTCACATAGTTGTGTTTATGGTTGTATGTGACTGACTGTTTGTGTTAGATGATGCGTTTGAAAAGGATGTTTATCTTATTTGAATTAAATTATAACTCTTTAAGCACTATGTAAGATATTCTCGAAATTAAACCGATCTCAATTCAAAATTTTTAGATCGATCTGGGTTTTTGATAGAAATTCAATAGAATTAAGTAAGGTAATGTCAGAAATCTACATGAATTCAAAGTTTATCAACAAGTTATTTTTCGGCTACTTATAATATAATTAAGATTTACAACGCACTTGAGCCATGAAGGAGTTTGCGCATACTGCAATTTAATAAATTACTTTTACCAAAACAAATATTGTCTTTGATGCAATCATGGCGGTCTAATTAATCGAGTGTTCGTTACAACTAGATTAGATACAGCTAACTTTAATTTACAACCGATTCGTTAATCTCTAACCCCATTCCTACATTATCACTTGATATCGAAGGAGAGCAACTTTTTATAATAGAATTTCTAAGAATACCTAAAATCAATTAGGAAAGGCATAGATTACAATAATTGTGTAATTTAATTGTATATCATATTTTACCTACTATTATTAGCAAAGAAAATAACCGATCGCCTGATTGTAAACTGTCGGTGCTGTAACCCTATATGACGTGACGCCTGGGGGATGCGGTGGTGGATCAGTTGGTTTGATGTTTTTGCCCGAATTGTCATATTTAGATGCGGTGCTGTCATGTTTTTGTTCGGGTATAATGACGGAAACAACAACAAAGCGAAACGATTCGCAAGCACGTAGGACATAGTCGCCGCAAAGCATTGTATTCGCTTGTCATCGTTTAATAGTCGCGTTCGCTTTAAGATCGCTCACACAGGACGTAGTGTTAGTGGGGACGTTTACAACAACAGAAGCATCACGGTACGTTGTTGTCCATAAAGGGGATTATCAGAATGTTTTACTAAAATGTATATGCTATAACTCGCCATTCATACATACCTAAGTACCTATAAAACGTTGAGAAGAAATGGATACAAACGTGATTGTTATCACTAAAACTGGTATCGTCCAGATAATCAAAATATTTTCACTGTTTGTTATCTGACATTATTAATTTATACGGTAGGAAGTGAGACTGTCTGTCTTTGTTATTTTGACAACTTATGAGACGAGGTGCTTCATCGTAGACTGCATCGTCGCTTACCAACAGGCGAGATAGTGTTCAAACGTCAGCCCATAAAAAATAAAAAAAAACCTTTTACAGACTCAGTGCTATTACCGAGAATTGCAAAATTGTAAAATCTAATTACACTGTGATTAAACCTGGAATGACTCCTCTCACTTAAATGTATACAGACTTTTAGAAAACATCTTGTAACTTTTTTCGCCATATTTTTAGTACCATTTACTCTTTCTTGGGTCTGTACTAAATACTTTTATAATTATTCACCACGAAATAACAAATATGAGTAATTTTTCATATCATTATAACTACTATCAAATTAACAATTACATGTTATTCCCCTAAGTTATACACCAGGGCCATTTTTTTGCTAATTATTAAATAAGACGAAACAACGCAAGTGTAGAAAAGTATAAGGGAAAAACCAAGGTTTATTATTATAATTCTATAAAATTATTTTTCAAACAATTTGTAGATATTATTGATTTAAAATTATGCCCGGTATATCGCAATAGGTTCTCCACTATCACATGAGACTCATAGCATAAATAGTGAAAAGTGGGTGTTACATTGAACAGTGGTATTAAGGATCGTCATGTACACATCTGCGGTGATAAAAGGCGTGATGTTATGTTTTGTTATGATGTATTATTCCCTAAATATGATGTGGCAGTTTAAATAAGTTCCAGAAAAAAATATAATTCATTGCTGAACCTCATCATTAAGGTTTGAGTTCTTCTAACCAGTCAAATTGTCGCGGAGAACCTAACGGGTAATCGGGGCTCCGGCTCGACGTGCAGGAGAAGGAACGGTGTGGTTTTTAGTCAGTAAGAGTCTGACACTCCCTCCCGCCTCACCCAGGGGGAAGCAGTCATTCGATGATTATCCCACCTTAAAAAAAACAGTCAAATTACAAATTCAGATGGTCATGGCGCAATAATGCATGTTTCATAACAATTTCCGCATAAAATGACTCAAAGGATATTTTTACCTAATATGTGCAAAAATCCCGGCATTACTCATTAGGGCAAAAGTTTATCTTAAATGATTTGTGATCTTGTGCAATATCATTCGTAATTCATGGAAATCGACTGTGCAAGCAATGTTTTCGAATACGATTTTCTAACTTACTTATTTGCTCCAAGATTCAGGAATAGTGTATGGTGTTTGGCTCCCTTTGCAAGTATACCTACCTATTAGGAACTAAATTAATTATTTACAAGATTTTGGTCTCTAGCGTACTTTAGACCTGCCTCCTTCCGCTACTCATAATATTTTTTTCTCTTTTTCTTCTTCTCTTATAATATCTTCTGATTCACTTCGTTGCGGGAACCAAGACAGTTACTCATGTCCCTGGGACGCGCCGGACTTCAGTGTTCCGGTGTTTTCAAGGTTGTATCTACTGTAGATCCTGGCTTACAGGAGTTGCACAAAAAATACCCATAATAAATTACATTTTAAAATAATTCACTTTACACCTTAAATAAATTTAACCCTAAATAACATCCATATGTTACAGTACTCTGAATCCTTCATTCATCCTCACATCAGGTAGAGACCACCGTGTATTTACGCTACCTACCCCACACGATGCTGTCCTAGTACCCCATTTGTTAACTTGTCCGGACAACCGATAACCCTGCATTGTATTGATTTGAGGTTATCTAGTTGTATCGAGATCATTCGATAGATTCGGTATGCATGAATCTTGTATATTATTGTTTCTACTTCACTTGGTCCTTATCTTAATCTATCTGGTCCTTCGGTCCGAATTCCTAGTTGTGTAAAGATTTGTAAATGTCTGGTGTATATTTGTCACGAGTTTATACGTTAAAAAGTGCACTGTGATTGTGACTACATCTCTATATCTTTTTGAGGGAATAAACTTATAAAAAAAGTGGAATTTGTTATACAAATTTCAACTCCACCTTTTCACAAAATATTTTAAACTAAACCTTTTTGCTCCGGCAATAATATAATTATAATCTTACGGCTATAAACTTTCGTGCATAAAATTACCACTTTATGTTTTGCACTTAATTGAAACGTTACCATGTTACTCAAGGACGCGTGTCGTACATTTTGCACGTAATTGTAATGCGTGTGCGCCACGTTGAACGTTATGAATGAAATCGTTCCACGTTTGAATTACTTAAATTGCCAGTATATGGCATACAGTTCCGAATTTATTTTATACAATTTACATAATCATTTCTGGGCTGTTAATTTCCACGCAAGTTTAGTTGTAACTGTTTTTTAAATTGAGTCTTAAAAAATAATATAGTAATTCAGTGTATAGGTGTAAATGAGAGATATGTTTATTTTCCGTTATAGTTTTGAGAACAATAAACTTTTACGGTTCACTTACTAATTTGTTAGTGTAAAATATGTGCACACTTGCACAGAGGTACTAGGTAGTCAGTAGTCTAATTTAATGAAGAACCACATACATTTACAAGTAGACCTAGAACACCACACTAACAGTACCCGTCTCCCATGCATAAAGCGGTTGCACTAACAAGTTGCAGGACAGGTGCTGAAGCACGTTGCACGATACCGCCATCTGTTGGCAGCGCCGAACATCAATCAACATGATCGATGCACTGAAACTAGGCCTGAGAAACTTCTCTACTCCGGTATATGAAATGTTTATTTCGATACTAACTTTTATGGTTGGGTTTGTCCACTTTTTCTGGTCTTCTGGTACGGGGATACATTATGTATGAGAACAGTTATCCCGTACGTTATTACTGCCGCATATGGGTCGGATAGTGCGTTCATTATGTATGTTTATTGGTGGTTGTAGTGGTACACACAGCATCTCTCAGTTCTACCTAGTTTCAGCCTAGTGCTACCTGAGGAATGAAACCTTCCAGTTGTTTTTGCTAAATTGGAAACACAGAAAACCTTTTTGCTAAATTGAGGAAACAAGGATGGAAGTATGTTTTCGTTTTATGCTTTCACATCACACAATATATTATTTGCCTAGCTCATAAGAGATATAAAACAACGTAAAATAAGTTCGTTTATGGCAGGAGCAATATTTATTACATCTGCAATTCAGAAGTAAATAGTTCAAAGTGGAGAATTTCACGTTGGTTTATACAACACTATTCAATTGCGACCAGTTCTCAAGGATACTAGCGATCTGGGTTCAATCACTTCGCTCGCGGTGAATGAAATACAATCCGGCTGAAAACGGTAGTACAACTCTTTGCTACAAAAATTATAAAGTTAAGGTTACGTTTTAAATTAGTAAGGTTATACAGGAACCGTGAGGGAACCGGGGCTAGTGCTGCCCAACTGCTTTTTGCGATAAGAATCGATACCAGCGAAAGTGATTCGATCGTCATTATCGATCGTAAGGCGGTAATCTTGCTCCGTCAAACGCTTGTGGGAAAATGATCGAGTAATATTTAACTCCTTTGCTAAGGATTATGTCTTGGAATGATTCTAAACTATTAGAAAATAGCAGTAAAACATTCATTAATATTAGCGAAAAACCTTCAGGCATGGAATTCACATGTCGGAAATTCTTATAAAACTGAATCTTCCTAGGAATTTGACCCAGGACCTCGAGAATTTTTTCATTTCCTTGCGAGGTTGTAATTTCCATCTTATAAATCTTACATTAACGATGTCCAGCTACCATCACCGTGCCGACTGAGCAATATATCATTGCTTCCATGACTTCAGTGTTTCCGCTTATTATATTAATTAATACTTTGCTTATTGCAAGTAAATCATTTTCAGCTTTATTTCCATTAACTCGATCA